GAGGCCCACTTCGAGAGGGGGCGCCGCTGGCGTTGGGTGGGGGGATCAGCAGGTCCAGCACATTCGAGCGTCCAGGGGACTCGGGCCCCAGCACGGATAGGGATCAGGATCATCTCGCCTGCTCCACTGCTTCTGCTGATGCCGCCCTTCCTTCCTTCGATGCTCCCCACTCTTTGTAGGCATCGCTCTCGGCTCAAGCTTCTTGGCACTCGCACTCTTTACGCGACGTTTGGCGGCCCGCGCAAGACTGGCTCGCTTTCGCGGCGGGCCGCCAGCACGCACTACCAACCATTAATTGCTCCTCTCGCTGGGTCGGGATAGCCGAATCCGCAATATCGGTGCACCACGGCTTGGCCCCACCTCTTCGGTCAAGGGAAGAGGGAGCTGACAGTGAAGCAAGCAGTGCACATCAGAGAGCAACCACTTCGTGACGGAGTTGCTGCGTGGTGGGCTAGGGCCAACACCTTGCTCAAGCAAGCAATTCAACATCGTCGGCGGCGAAACGATGCCCCGCAACTAAGTCAACACCAGCCATGCTGCACAGTGACCTCCAAGTCCGTGACCAAGGGGTCTAGGAACGGCACGAGATTCGCCACGTGCCTCACGGCGTTCGTGTGCAAGAAGCTTTCGATCGCCCACCCGTCGACGTCGGAGCGGATCTGGGTCGGCGACCTCTCGGAGCGGGTTGTGGGATCGAGGCAGCACGCGAGGAGCACTTTGACGATGGCAGCCATCAGCACAGTCCGCGAACGCAAGAAGCTCAAGCTGAACATCGCGACGAAAAGCGTGGCCACTTACGCGCACGACAGTGGTGCAGCGCATATCGCCGAGGCCGAAGCGCTCGAGAGTCCAAGGGCGTGCTGGTGAAGGCAATGATGCAGGCGCCGTACCTCGACGTCGACATCAGCAGCGGGCGCAAGCTGGCCAAGGACGCCGCGAGGAAGCGAGTGGCCAAGGCAAGTCGATCGCACGCTCGCTTGCGCCGCTTCGCCCGCGCGGCGAGACGCTGGCAGGCCACGGCGCAGATTCAACATGCTGGTCCACAGGCCGCTGCAGCTGATGGGCACCATATTCATGGATGTTTCGGTTCGGTCACGTTGGCCCACAGGCGTCGCCCAGGAACCGCAGCGGGCTCCAGTAAGAGGGGGGGATGTCTCACTGTCTCACTGCACTCCTCTCCCTCCGCCTGCTGGCGCAGCTTTGCCGCGCCTATGCCTTCATCAATGTTAGGAGGCAACTACTGGGAGGTTTTCGTCGGAAAGGTTAAAGAAGATGAAACCCCATTTGGGAGCTGTTACGCCGGAGTGGGCCTCGGATTAAGCGGGACTAAGCCGGATTTAGCGGGATTAAACGGGATTCAGCCGGATTCAGCGGGATCAAGCCGGATTAAGCCGGATTTCGGACTGGGGCAACATCAGAATTGGACCTCCCAGGAGCTGCATCCGAATCAATGGTTTGCAGCCTGGATTGGCGATCCTGGGGGAACAAAAAGTGACATAACATAAAAACTCGGAGGTCCGCGCGGATTTCTCGGATCTGCGCTGGGGCCCCCGGCGGCGCCTCCGGCGCCGCCCCTGGCGCGCTCCGCGCGCAGGGAGGGGGGTCCAGCGCCGATCCGAGAAATCCGCGCGGACCTCCGAGTTTTTATGTTCATGTCAATTTTCGTTCCCCTAGTCAAGGAGCGGACCCCCCTCCCTGCGCGCGGAGCGCGCCAGGGGCGGCGCCGGAGGCGCCGCGGGGGGGCCCCAGCGCAGATCCGAGAAATCCGCGCGGACCTCCGAGTTGTTATGTTTATGTCACTCTTTGTTCCCCTAGATCCATCACTCCGCAGCTCGATCCTCGCGCGCTCGGCCGCCTGCCGCCCAGAGCCTGCCGGGGAGTCCCGGAGGAGCAGGCACGTGCGAGGCCCAGGTCCTCGGTGATCCTCTGCGGTCGGGCTCGCTTGGGCGGGACACGCGAGAGCACACGAGACCCTCCCGAGGGCCACATCGCCACAGGAGTGTATGAAGGGGCCCCAGGACACGCAAATAAATACACACAAATGAAAAGATGCCCCATATTTTCCCATATTTTCTGGGTTTCTCTCTTCCCCCCTCTTCCCATATTTTCCGATATGTTCCTGGGGGTCGACGATTAGTTGTGTCTGTGTGTTTTTTTCCCTCCTGAGTGTAAAAAGGCACGTGCCGCGAGGCACGGGACACAAGGGTACCCTTGAGCTGGCAGGGTCGACCCACTAATCCGGGCAGACTGTGCCTGTTGCAAGCGGGGTGGACAGCGAGCTCAGCCACTGCACGGCAGGTGCCGAGCGACGGGGCAAGCGACACTCACACGTAGCATTTCCACGAAGAGTCGTTCGCTGGCCTGGACCAGGCGCAGCCGTTGCCAGATGAGTGCGAGACCACGCTCCATGCACAGCTGTGGAAGGAGGCGGCCTTGCAGTGTTGTGGGGCGGGCCTCGAGGACGATGCGGGCCTCTTGAACTGCAGGCGGTGCATGTCGTCTCTGCTGCAGGCTCGGCGCGGGCGGCAGCCATCATAACTCATGGTGTCCATCGCCACAGAGGCAACGCTTGCAGGTAATGACCTTCAGCTTCGATGACAGGATGGAGTAGGCACGCCAGCTCACAGATGTTGGGCATGCATTGAAACATCGTGATTCGCCAGCTTTCGCCATGTCAGACGAGTTAGTCCACGAGGCTCCCGCCGAACAGGACACGTCCCCAGCCTTCTGGATGCGAGGGGTCATCCCTGCCCCTTGGACGTCCGTGGAGCCGCCCATTGCTTCGAGCACTTTCCTCGGTGCTTCGCTGATAGGTGATACTGTAGGCCCAGGTTGTCCAGGGAACGGGTCAGCAAATGACCCCATCTTCATCTCTGGAGATGCCTCGGGGGGAACGGTGCCCTCCACACGAGGTTGAAGAGGGTAGGTCTGGCTGTCGCCGCGTTCCGCTCCACCTCTCCGCGCGCTCAGGGGCCCCATCTTTTTGGGCCCCTCCCAGGCCCCTCTCAGACGGTGCCCAGGGGTGAGCTGCAAGGTTTGCAATAAGTCCTCCGCTTCACTGCATGGTGGCTCGTTTATGTGACCGATTGTGCCGAAATTGCTAGGGGGTACGATAGGGCGTTTGCTGCCCCAGCTGGGCCACAAGCAAATGTCTGGCGTTCCTTAGGTAGCTTGGTTGCTGATCGGTCGCCTCCTGAACATCAAGTCACCGTGCTCCAGATCCCGTGTCACCGAGAGGGCAACGACGTCGTCGCTCAGGGCTGGCCTTCGTGTTTGATCAGAGGCAATGCTTGTGTTGACGTCCTCGTAAGTGAGGCCGCCACCAGAGCTATGATTTCGGAAATAGAACGTTTCAGAATTTACAAGGTAGAGCGGAAAGCCCGTCTGGTCAGGAGGAGGGGAGGCTCCTTCGCGTCGCTCTGCAGTCATATGTGCCGCCCAGGAGCGCGAGGAGACCCTGAAAGCCCCTGGCCCTCACCTCTCTCCTCCTCCTCCTGCCAAATCCGTTGCACGCTTCGCGTCTGCCCACACCCTGGGCCGAAATGGCAGGTCGTGTATCGTGTGCCGTAACTCTGCGATCTTGTCTAAGGAGACCGAATGGTTAAAAAGTGAGTGCTTCCATCTGCTGCCCGTCAAATGGAAGCTATCCCGAATTCCCCCTGGACTGAATGTACACTTGGCTGGAGGTTGAACGCACCCCACCCACACCATGCAATTTCACAAAGACCTCGGTTTGTGGTGTTGCGGCAGCTGCGGATATTTCGGACAGACCCAGTTCAGGGGTTAAGCAAATCCATGCCGCCCACATTTGATTACCAAGGCCAGGCGCGAGTGCCTTGATCGTGTCTCTCGCGACCTGTTTCCCAAAACCTGAGCTTGCATGCTTTCATCACTACGTGATGGCGGGAATCCGGGAAATCCTCCTCCTCCTCCTCCGTCTCCTCCTCCTCGCGCTGTGGAACGATCACAACGAGCGCTTCTTCGCTAGCTTCGGCCTCTGGGGGTCCCTGCCAGGCCTCGGGCCCGTCAGGGTCCCCCGTCAAGGACCCCCTAACCTCCTCACCTCCTCCCCCTCCTACTTTCCCCATCCTCCTCCTCATTCTCCTCATTCTCCTCCGCCTCCTCCTTCTCCTCCTCTTCTTTTTCCTCCTCATTCCTTCCTGCTTGAACGATCGACAAGTTGCTCCACATTGGCAGATTCCTGGCCACTGGCGGCGTTAAACCTCGAAAGCCCGCGCTGGGGTCGCCATGGCTACCGCTCGCACTGGCCAGAGAAAGCAAGTACGATCATCATGCTACCATACGGAACGCCACCACGGCGAGCCTCGGCCACGAATACCCGTCGGTCAGGAAGAAGAGGGTAGAAACATGAAGCGGGAAGGCTTTGGACACAGATTGGGCTTCCGCCCAGGCCCTGAAGAGGAGGGGAGAAGGAAAACCGCTCGACTCATGAAGTCGGACGGCGGCTAAAGTATATTGAGATCCGGAATCTAAGAATACCGATATTAACGCCCAGCGCGAAGATGTCCCGATCTAGATGCAAGCAAAAGCACGAAACCCATGCATCCTCCCGGGCCCAAAGCGGCTTGTGTCCTTGACCACTTCGGAAAATTGTGAAGGTTCGCCCGCTCCCCGGCAGAAAATTTGTCGTGCACACCGCAGCGCACTGTGGACTGGTTCCCCAATCAGCCGCACGGCGAGGTGAGGTCACCTCGTCCTCTAACCTTGGATATGTCGACCCCCACCCACAGCCTTGGGAGGCTTTCAAAGTTGGCCAGGAATTTGGGACCCAACCCCTGGGATATACGATGGGGAGGCGTCCATCCTCGATACGGGTGCGTACGAATAGCCCCTTTGGGGTGAAGCCCAGGGTTCCCCTCCTCTTCTGAACGGCTTCACCTTTCATCGACGAATCGGGGGTGGGTGAGAAAAATCGCTGGCGAACCTCGGCATCCTCCTAAACTCCTCCCCGCCACTCTGTCTTCGCATCCCCTCGGGACCTCGCGGGCACTCCAACCGCACCCCCGGAGCCGACGCTGCACCTCGGGCAACTCCGGGCGCACGCGGTCACTGTAGAGGCCCTCGACGCAGCTCCGCAACCCGCCCTTCCACAAGCATGCGGGAGGTCCACCCCGCCCCGCTCTCCCAACCCGTGCCGTTTTCCTTGCCCTCCTCGTCGCCAACATTGTCGTGACGTCATCTTGTTCATCATCATGTTCGGCCTCCCCTTTCTCCAAAATGTTTTTACCCGACAGCGAAGACTGATAGGTTTCTAGTGGGCTCAAAAAAAAAACATCTTGACTCCCCAGGGGTGTCTGGGCGGGTGCCGGGAGAAGCCGGGGAACCCCGGGACTCCACAGGACTCCTATAGATTCCTACAGGTTCCTGTGGATTCCTACTCTTCGTGTTCCCAAAACACAATTTCCAGACACATTTTGAATGCCCGGAGCCAACTGTGAGCCACTTCGTTCTCTTCGCGTTCCCAGAACACGTTTCCCAGGCCACATTTTGAATGCCCGGAGCCAACTGTAGGCCGCTTCGTGTTCTTCGTGTTCCCAGAACACCATTCCCAGGCCACATTTTGAATGCCCAGAGCCAACTGTAGCCCACTTCGTGTTCTTCGTGTTCCCGGAGCACCACTCCCAAGCCACATTTTGAATGCCCGGAGCCAACTGTAGGCCACTTCGTGTTCTTCGTGTTCCCGGAACACTACTCTTGTACCATATTTTGATTGCCCGGGGCCAACTGCGGGCCACTTCGTGATCTTCGTGTTCCCCGAACACAAACCCTGTGCCATATTTTGAATGCCCGAGCTGAGGCAGGCTGAGGCCGAGGCAGGCTGATGCCGAGGCGGGCTGAGGCTGAGGCTGAGGCACGCCGACGCAGGCTGAGGCTGAGGCTGAGGCAGGCTGAGGCCGAGGCAGGCTGAGGCTGAGGCTGACGCAGGCTGAGGCCGAGGCAGGCTGAGGCTGAGGCTGAGGCAGGCTGAGGCTGAGGCAGGCTGAGGCTGAGGCTGCGGCAGGCTGAGGCTGAGGCTGAGGCTGATGCAGGCTGAGGCTGAGAGGATGACGCAGAGGCTGAGGCTGAGGCCGAGGCTGAGGCCGAAGCAGGCTGAGGCTGAGGCTGAAGCAAGCCGAGGAAAGCTGAGGCTGAGGCTGAAGCTGAGGCAGGCTGAAGCTGAGACTGAGGCAGAAGGCTGATGCAGGCTGAAGCTAAGCCAGGCTGGGGCTGAGGCTGAGGCAGGCTGACGCTGAGGCTGGGGCCTAGGCAAGCTGAGGCTGTGGCCGAGGCAAGCCGAGGCAGGCTGAGGCTGAGGCTGAGGTTGATGCTGAGGCAGGCTGAGGCTGAGACAGGCTGAGGCTGAGGCTGAGGCAGACTGAGGCTGAGGCAGGCGGCAGCTGAGGCCGAGGCAGGCTCAGGCCGAGACAGGCTGAGGCTGAGACTGAGGCTGAGGATGAGGCCGAGGCAAGCCGAATCTGCGACAAGGTGAGGCTGAAGGGGGGGGGGAAGGGGGGGGAGGCTGAGGCTGATGTAGGCTGGGGCCGAGGCAGGCTGAGGCCGAAGCAGACTGAGGCTGAGGCTGAGGCAAGCCGAACCAGGCTGAGGCTGAGGCTGAGGCTGAGGCTGACGCTGAGGCTGAGGCAGGCTGAGGCTGAGGCAGGCTGAGGCTGAGGCAGGCTGAGGCTGAGGCTGACGTAGGCTGAGGCCGAGGCAGGCTGAGGCTGAGGCTGAGGCAGGCTGAGGCTGAGGCCGAGGCAGGTTGAGGCTGAGGCTGAGGCAAGCCGAGGCAGGCTGAGGCTGAAGCTGAAACTGAGGCAGGCCGAAGCATCCGTAGGAATCCATAGGAACGTGGGAATCCTTAAAAGAATCCCTAGGAATCCGTAGGCATCCTTAGGAATCTGTAGGCATAGTTAAGCATCCTCAGGAACCCTGAGGAATCCTTGGGATTCCCTGGGAATCCGTAGGGGTCCCTAAGAATCCATAGGAATCAAGATCCCCACGGATTCCGAAGGTTTCCTAATGATTCCCAGCCTTAGGAATCCATAAGAATCCTTAGGATCCAATTGGGTCCTAAGGCAGTTGCCACTGCGACTGTCGTTGCGAATGCGACTGCGACTGCGAGAACAGCAAAATTCGACAATTGGGTTCTCACCTGAATCTTAAGGGGAATGCTTCCAGATATGCTTATACACATCGCTGTTCGGTTGCGTTGCCGGGATATGTTTGTTAAGATCCTACGCCGCGTTAGGCAAACGTGTATTAGTACGACTAGATCCTTATGATAGTTGACCTTCTTCTTGTCGCTCGCGAGCAGTTGACCCCCCACTGCGAACTGGCGGGCGCATGGGCGAGTGGGCCCTTCAAGCGGAGTGATTCTAAACAAAGATGTAGCGTGCATGCGCCCGCGCACGCGCCCAGCCCGCCCGGCTGGCCAGCGCGCGCTTTTGCTCGAGTAACGATGCGCAGCTGCGGAGATAGCCTCTCCGACCGATCCGCACCCCACCAACGCCCTGCAAAGGAAAAGAGTGGAGGGCAGCAGAAAGCGGCGATGGGGAGCGCTAGTAATGACCCCCCCCCCCCGCGGCAAGCCAGCGCGACATCGTCGCGCCAAGGCGGACGCGCCAGCGCATTGGCTAACATCCCAAGCCAAATAAGTGGGACATGCCAGACAGCCTTCTGCAAGTCCCGAGAGCGTTGGATAGCCCCCCCCCCCCCCCCGCAGAAACTACGGGCCCCGCGCCGCGCCGACCCCGCAAAGCATCCACGGCGGAGGCGGCGAGGAGGGGGGCGCTCCTGCCACCGCTCCGCAGGACAGGTCGAAGGCCCCCCGACGCGCCGAACCCCAATATAAGATTAGAGGCGCGCGCCGCCCAGCCATCAACTCACGAGGCCGCCGGCCCGTCGACGGCCTCGGCGCGCCTGCGGCTTATATCCATGCCGTGCGGCAGCCAGGTCAGACTAGGGCACCGTCTCAGCCCATCGCCCGTGCCCGCCGCCTGAACGAATGCTCTTCCATCACCGGCCGCCGCAGCGGTCATCGCGACCGGCGCCGCAATCCCGGTCGCCCCGGGGGGCCTGCTAACCAGCCCAGCTCGAAGGGGGCGACCAGAATGTCTAGCGATCATCTGTGTCAGCGCGCCAAAGGGCCTGCGATGGCACCGCGTCGCCCTGCCGCTACTGGCCGTAGTCGCGACGCCGTGGCGAAGACTCTGTCGCGGCCACCTCGTCCGCCAGCGCCATCGGCGTGGGCGGCGCGGGCGTTGGTCTCGGGGCGGTGCTACCAGTCCGATCTCTGTCGGACGGCGCGTTCCTCGTCGGCCGCGGCGCCGCCCGCTGCCACGGGGGCGCGTCGGGCGACATGCGCCAATCTCTCTCGGTAGATCTGTTTATCATGAGAGGGCCACTCTGCTGGAACGCCCGCAGTGACGCGCTCTGCTCCAGCCCCCACTTTGTACGCCCCCACGCCCGGAGGCGCGCGGTGGATGCCTTGCCGGGTGGGTCGCAGCTGCTGCCGCGCGTCTGGACACGCGATGTCTCGCCGCCACGTTCGACGGTCCTCACCTTCATGTGTTCCTTTGCCTCGGCGGTGGATTTCGCCCGCGGCCTTGTTCCCCGCGCGAGGAGGGCGCAGCGCCTGCGGCAGGATCGCCAAGACGATCGTCTCCTGCATCTCCTTAACCTTCTCCATCTGGATCGATTGTCCCGAGTGGCTCCCATTTGTCTTTGAGGTGGGCCCACGTGAGGCCCCTCAGATGCTCGGGTTCAGGAAGATGCTGTCCCTGACCCTCTCACCGCTGCCAGGCATCCCAACCGTTCGACGGTTCGAGTGCTCTTCATCTGACATTACGAGCTCGCCCCGCCGGCCCGCATGAAGGGCCCCAAAAATCCTAGATGCCGGCCATCGGCCCGCGCGTGGTAACTCAGAAACGGCCGCCAAACTCCAGCGACAACGACGGCCGTCGGCCCGGCGGCTGGGGGCCCCATATGCCGTTGAACATTGACCCAACGAAGATCCAGGAAACGGGCCTTGATCTGAAGCCACGCAGGGACTTGAGCCCGCGAGGTATCCTCTTCCGATTGAGGCAGCCACGCAAGTGCAGTCATTGACTGAAGCGCGAAAGCAATCATGTCTTGGCAGTCTTGCCATGGACAGCCACTGCGCATCGAGATGTTGCCATCTTTGGGTCCCCCCACTTTTGTTCAGAGTTGGGTCTGTTCTGGTCAGTGGCACGGCCTTGCGCATATTTTTGGGGCCTCGCAGTCGTCGCAGGAACGCTGCCCCCGGCGTCGGGATCTTTTCCCGCGCCCAGGAACTTCCAGAGGCCCAGCGCCCCCCGCGGAACTGCGAGGCGGAGGGCATTCGGCGTCCCAAGCCTTGGCTCATATACTATTGGCTGCGAACCACGCAAGCAGCCGATCGCGCCCAGACGATTGCGGCGCGCCTTCGAGCGCGAAGGACATCCGTCCTCCCAGAGCGGGGTTGCAGTCATCTTGCGCTTGAAGCCGCTCGAAGCAAGCTTGTCACCGAGATCCCCAAACATCATCGTCTCTTCCTTGTGCTTAAAGTAACCGATGCAACCATGATCGGGCCATGGGCCGATCCAGATCCCGCCGGAACGCCGGTCGCACACCGCCATCCACGACGCGGCGATCTGCAACATCTGGCGAATCCCATCCCATCGGGGATGGAATTCAGTCGCCAGGGAGCCACCATGCACTGGCCAGAAAACTTCTCTGGGTTGTCTACGTCGAGTACCCGCGCATCCAAGTTATCCGCGGAGGGCGCGTTTGACCATCCGTTCGGGCGAAGCCATCGCGGGAAATGCCCCGGCTGGTCGCTGCATTATCTTGCTTTATCTCGCTGCTCCAGGGTGACTTCGCCGTGCGCGTCGGAATCCGCTGTCTGTGAGACTATGCCGCCTGGTCGCGCGAAGTCGTTCAGTTCGACAGGAATCGCGAACATGCGCACGCGCTGCCGTTTGAATGTTCCTCGACCCCTGGGTCCGTGTACACAGGGCCGAGGACCTGTCGCCGCCAGAAGTGGCGCTGCTTGGGAATCGCGTTGGCGCCCACGTGCGTCTGCAACGCCCAGTGAGTGGTGGCTGGCCCTTGTACTTGCCAGGTGTTGTCCGCTGGGCCCTCGGGCATCTGGGCGCGCTGGGCAAACGTCTTCCGAGCGAACTCCGCCTCCGCCGCGTTGCCCGAAAGGTGCGCGTCCAACGGCTCGTGACGCGGCGTCTGGGATCCCAGTACCGAACCATCGACAACCACTGCGATGGGCCCACCAGGAATATCGAGAATGCCGCGATCACCCGAGCGGAGGAGCGGCGGGCATTGCACCACGACGGAGCCCAGCATCGCACAGCCATGGCGCGCCTCGAGGGTCACCCACTTAATTTCGGGATGCACATCAGAAGCGGGAATCGCTCCATCGAGTGGGGGCCACCTGAAGACTGGGATCGTCGACGGGTGGCTCGCCCGCGCCGCCCGACTCCGCGAGCTCGTCGGCAAGCTGGGCACCAGACTCCATAAAAAGGCAACATGCGGGGCGTTGGTCCGATGGGCAAGCTTGAACAGGCTTTTCCCGTAGAGCTTCATCGGGGTCCCGCCCCTCGGCCCGCAGGCCAGGATCTCCACGGCCTCGTGGAAATCCTCTTCACGCTGATCCAGAGTCGGATCGAGGACTACCCACGACCACCCGTCCGCCCGCGCGCGAGCGCAGAGCAGCCTCTCGTGCCCTAGCGCCTCCTCCTGGCTGTAGATCACGTGCAAGCGCGACTCTGGCATCAGTGAGCGAAGCCACGCGGCGCAGGCGTCCGAGGCTGCGCCATCGTTCCTTCTGGCGACTGCCCAGTAGTACCACGCCATACACGCCGAGACACCGACCAGCACGCCCGACACGAAGCCGACCACGGCGCTCGTCCACGCCGGCCCCGAGGAACAAGTGCACGAAGCAGGGGCGGGCGCGGTGAGCTGGTCAGGTCCACAGCGATCAAGCTGGCGCTGGAGGACTGCCACGATGTCGCCCGTCGCCTCACACGCGCACGCGCAGATGCACCTCTGGCCCCCCGCACTCCACCAGCCTATGGTGTAGCCAGCGGCCTGCGCAATGTATAAGGAAAAAAGGCTTACATAGGCCAGAATCCTTTGCGCCGAAAGCCTATGGGTAAGGGGACGGAGACATCTTTAATATCAACATCGCTTGCTGCTGGCCAGACCGCAACGTTAACACGAAATCTTCGGGTCAACGCCTTTCCCGCTCCAAGATGACCCTAGACGGCCTCCAAGTCGGCTCAGATGGGCCGAGATGGCTTCCAAATTCGCCAAATATGGTCCAAGACGGCCTCCACGACGGCCCAGGATAAGATGCCTCCAAGTCTGCCCAAGAAGCCACCAAGACGGCCCCACAAGGCCCCCAAGAGGCCTCCAAAACAGCCCAAGAGACCCCCCTGAGGTTCTCCAGGATGGCCCGAAAAGGCCAGAGTCATTACCATTCCCTAGGTGTTTGATTTTTTTTCTGTATTTCCTTCTTTTCGGCTTTCCGCCGGCCTAGACGATTCCAGAGGCCCCAAGATCGTCTCAGGATGGCCCTTACAGCCTCCAAGACGGCCCCAGAGGTCCTCAAGACGGTCCAAAGAGGGCTCTAAGTCGGCTCAAGAGGCATCCAAGACGCCCGAGATGGCCTCCAAGACGGCCCTCAAGCGCCCCCCAGAGGGTCCCAAGACGGCCCAGAGAAACCCCCAAGACGTTGTCCGACGGCGTCAGACGGGCCATGAACGCCCTGAGACAGCCAAAGAGGCTCGCACGAAGCCTCCCCAAGAGGCCCAAGGAGACCCCAAGAAGCCGCCAAGAGGCCACCGGGATGCTCCCAGGAGGCCCCCAGAGTGGCCCAGGAGGCTCCCGAGCGGTTTTCTCCTCTTCCTCCTCCTCACTTGTTACCCTCCTCCTCATCACCCGCCTACTCCCCTAGTGTTCCCCGAAGCATTTCCACCACGGCTGGGGGGACGCATGGCCCCATAGCTTGGGGCCAAACTTTGCCCAAACGTTTGGCCACATAGGCGTATCCTAAAAGACAGGGGGCGGTGGTGATTCGCGGTAGGCGTCTGAAATTTGCAATGCAACTGACCGTCTGCACTACATTTACAAGGCGTCGTCCGCGCGCGTTGCAACTGCGGCGCGTCTTGTGTACCGAACAAGACGCTCCATGCCGAGCGCCCAAAACTTGATGCGACCACTGACGCCGATGGGCCGCCGAGATCCTCAAACACTTTTCGAGACGCCTTTCTGCCCTCTGCCTCAGTGTTTTTGCCTCAGTGTTTTTAATGTTACGAAAGCGTTTGCAAGCACGCGTTGTAACGGCGGAAGGGCACAACCACTTTCGCACGGACCCGTCAGAGATTTCAGTGCCACCGAACTTTTTGCCACCCCCCCCTCCACCTGCACCCCCTTTTGGGCTGCCCAGCTCGGAGGGGACAGGGTCCTGAGGGACACGGGTCCTGGACCCTGGTGCCCTCCCCCAGGACCAGTCTTCATCCTGACTCGTTCTCTCTGACGGTCCCAGGGATCCTGTGAGGGGCCCCGAAAGCCCGAAAACGTTTCCCTCGGGACCCGCTTCCCCCATGGCGATTTGGGCTGCCCAGACACTCGCCACTGGGAATGCCGGTACACCCCGCGAAATGCTTAAGAAATCATGGGTTAAGAAATTCATAGTCTCAGAATTTGAAATCAAACCCAGAATGTCGATTCAAATGTTAGGATTTACATTGAAACATTAAGAATAATCGAGACTCTGGCCGAAAACTTAGGTTTTCTTAAGCATCGCCTAAGGTGTATGCCCTCGTGGTCGGCCCGACGGGTGGGGGCGAGGGCGCCGCCTCTTCTCGGTCGTCTTCGGGCGCAGAGCGTGTTTTTCGGGCTTCGGGTCTGCCGCCCCGCCCCGCGTCCTCCTCCTCCTCCTCCTCCTCCTCCTCCTCCTCCTCCTCCTCCTCCTCCTCCTCCTCCTCCTCCTCCTCCTCCTCCTCCGCCCACTCCTCTTCCTCCTCCTCCGCCTCCCTCCCTCCCTCGCCCCCTCCCTCCCTGGCCCCCCCTCCCTCGAGCCCCCACCCCTCCTCCTCCCCTCCTCGGGGCCCGTCTCTGGGCCGACCCGCCTCCAGCCGCTCCCGGGCGGGGCCCAGCAGGCCCTCCGGCAGGGGCCGCCCGCGGAGCAGCTCCGGGAGGTCCCCGCGCGGCTCGGCGCCGGGCGCGGCCGCCGCGCTGGGCGGCGCCGGCGAGGGCGCCTGCAGGTTGGGGGGCAGGGGAAGAGGAGGCAGGCGCCTCTCCTCCTCCTCGCTCTTTCCTTCTCCTCCTCCTCCTCCTCCTCCTCCTCCTCCTCCTCCTCCTCCTCCTCCGCCTCGTCCCCCTCGTCCTCCTCTTGCTCCTCCTCCACCTCCTCCTCCTCTTGCTCCTCCTCCTCCTCCTCCGAGTCTCGCTGTCACTGTGAACATCGGAGTCCCTTCTCTTTCTCTTTTTCCTTCTCCCCCCCATCCTTCTCCCTTCTCCCTTCTCCTCCTGCATCCTTCTCGTTTTCTTCTAAGCGACTCCTGCCTGTCGCGCCCCCAGGCGTGTCCGTAGAGGGGGGCCAGGCGTTGCGCCCGAGAGACCTCCTCACCATTATAAGGGCGACAGGGTTGAGATCTGGAGCAGCGTCCGGGATGAAGCAGGTGTGGTTTGCGGAATGTTTTGGGCTGGGCGAAAGGGGGGAATAACAAAGGGGGGGGTTGAGAATCAGCTCACGTAGCTGATTTTCCCGGCGCCTCCCGGCGCCCGAGGCGGCCATGTATCGAGGAATGGGCCCCTCGGTGAGGCCGAAACCAGCTGCACGCAGCAGATTTCGCAACCCCCCCTTTCCCAATCCCCCCCTTCGTCCGGCCCGAATGTAGCGCTCGCCCTTGGGCCACGCACATCCCGCTCACAAAGGATCCTGCAACATCCTGCAGGACCCTGCAGGAGCCTGCGCCCACGCCCAGGTCCATGCACCCCAGGCCCTGCAGTATCCTGCAAGATTCTGCGCTCTGGCTGACCCCCGTCCCCCGTCCCCACACCCCCGTCCCCCGTCCCCACACCCCCTCTTTCGGGGATGGACAAACCCCCCTTTAGTAAAACGTGGTTCAGTGAAAACGACCTCGGGCCCAAACCTGGCGGGCGCAGGCCTGGAAAACGACGGCCGCGGCGCCCTCTCGAGAACCGAAAACGAACCATTCACCAATCGACGTGTCAGTGTAGGAGGTCTGTCCACCCCCGATAAAAGGCGACAGCACCACTCAAGAGCCGCCGCGACCTTCGAACCTCGAAGCTCGAGGGCCAACCTCGGCAGCCCCCCTGTGTTGGGATGCAATTTCTGGGAGGTTCCACTGAGCATCGGTGCTGGTAGATCCGTGGTCGAAAGTTTGCCCGATCCGTCATAACCCTATCTATCCGTTTCCAATCCCACATAATCATGGTCTTCCCGACTCTTGAGCCCCGACGCAGCGGCCACCTCGGCCTGCCAGCGTGGGCACGGCCCGAGCTCCGGCCGCGGCGCCCGGGGGGCGGCCGCCAGCGCCGCCGCCGCGCGCGCGCCGGGCGCCGCGGGCTCTCGGGCTCTCGGCGGGGCACCGGGGGAGGCCGCCGCGGCCGCGTGGGCGGGCCTGGGCCGGGGGCGACGAGGAGGGCGAATGGCCGCTGGAGGTCTTTAGTTTTTGTTTATACTCCCCCACGCTTTCTCTCGGCGATGAAAACGGCTGGTCGTCAAACCTCCTCCTCCTCCTCCCTCCTCCTCCTCCTCCTCCTCCTCCTCCTCCTCCTCCTCCTCCTCGCTGCGCGGCGGGTGCCGCAGAAAACAATAACTAGTTACCCCCTATTGGTGGGACCCCAATTCTTCAGGAAGGCCGCCCAACAAAAATTAGTGACCCGCTGGGGGTCTAAAGACCTTTCAGGGTTACATGTATATCCCGGGTCGTCGATGATCCATGCCTTCGGCGAGGATCCCAGGCGAATGCGTGCAGTATGCCCGCCCCTGGGCTATCCAAGACGAAGCCAGGACGAGGACAACTTCGGGTGAGGGTAGATCGAGAATCTCTGAGACCTGGCGGCTCCGGAGGACGCCTCGGGCGCCGCGGCCTTCACAGAGCCTTCCGGAACGCTCCGAGAGCGCTCCGGAGCGCTCTGGGACATTTATCTAGGGCTCCCAACTTCGCGCTTCGCGCTGCGCGAAGCGCGAAGCGCGAATAACTTCGCGCTCTCGCGCCGCCCTCCCAAAGGGAGAATAGGAGGACGAGGAGGAGGAGGAGAAGGAACGAGGACCGCGAAGCGCGAATAACTTCGCGCCCTCGAGGGAGCCCTTGTTTATCCTCCTCCCAGCCCCCTCCGACGGGTATCGAAACCGCGGCTCCCCGGACCTCTCCCTGGGGGGCCTTCCTGGCCAAGGAAGCTCGGGGCGCGTCGGGCCGTGGCGGCGAGGGGGCCCCCCCGGGAGGCCCGAGGCGGGGAAAAGCGAGAGGAGGGCAGCTCGCCCTCGCTTGGGCGTCCGCTCCCCGTGCGTTTTTGTTGGGCGTTCGTGCGCGTAGTTCTCGCGAGGTGGCCCCCAAAATGCTCTTCGAGGGTCCTCGCCGAGAAAAAAATGCACACGCCCGAGCGATGCCAAGGTGGAGGGATGGGTGCCTTTTACCCTGAGAGGTGGAAGAAGAGGAGGCCATTGTCGCCTCTGACCGGGCTGCCAGCAGCGCTTGTTATCGGTGGGCGCGGAAGGTCCCGGCCGAGCCTCGCGGCCTGCGAGGCGGCCTGCCATCGCGCGGCGGATTCTGGAAGCGTGGCACCCTCGAGGCAGAGAGATGCGACGTGCGCTTGAGGCCAGACTGGAAACGGCGTCGGGGGGGCGTGCAGTCAACCCATCTAATAGGGATGCGCGGTAAGGATGCAAGGACCTTGGAAGGCCATGTCGACACTTTGCGAGCGGGGCGCGGCCAGCGGAAGCGGCCAAGGAAGGGCCGAAGGGGGAGGATACAAGGGTAACCTCGGAACGATGCTCATCCTTCCTATGCGGGTTGACGGTACGAGATGGGCCCTGTGGTCATCATGGCAAGACGGTGGAGATTGACTGCACGGGCACCACTCGGCCACGGTACTGCGCACCACGAGGTCGCCTCCCTCTTCCTCCCACCCCTGCACAGATCAGGAACGGGCAACGGTGACACTCAACATGATGGCCGTGCTGATGGAGACACTGACGATATCATCGCGGACTAGAAGGCTGGCGCTGCTCGAAGCAGCGGCGACCGTGAATCGGCTTTCGCCAGACTGATAACTGACAGAATCAACCACCTCCAAAACAACACTCCTGAGCAGACTGTACGTGTGGGCACGACGAAACTACAAACCACTTCGACTGGTACGGCCTCCAGTGGTGCTACGGGCGTCGCGGATGCCATGTAGCAAAGCCGATGATAATGCGAAGACGACTGCAATCAAGACGACGACAACCCATAATGCCACTTCCGCAACAGCAGCAACGACGTGTAAGTATCATGCAGGGGCAAAGAGTCTAAGAATGGAGGGGACGAGGGACGCAAGGTACCCAGGCCTCCGACTTCGCAATGTGTGGGAACCATGCTCCTTTGGACGGACATCTGAACCTTTTCCCCAGGACAAGTGTCTCGCCACGAATTGTTTTTTGACAAGCCCAAGGCTCAAACGAAAGCACCTGGATGCCGAAAACGGCCCCAAACCACCCGTCGTGATTATCTTGCAGCGAGAGGCAATGGTTTTCGGATCATAATTCTGCACCCTGTCGGCTGTTCGGGACGATCCAGGCACGCCAGGAACGCTCTGGGCGAAGCACAACCGCTGGACAAAAACCTCGCTGAAACCCATGCCTAGACGTGCTCGAACCCCCGGAAAAAGGGACCAAACCTAAAACGCAAAATCAAAAATGGCGCGCGGGGCGAGGCGCAAATCCAAACGCTCACTTCATGCCGCGCGCGAGATTCCGTTGCCGCGAGCGCTGGGATGCAAAGCGTACCGTGGCCTGGCTTACAACATGGCGTGACTGGGCAGCGCGCAGCGCAGCCGAAGTCTGAAACTGGGATACAACAGCAGCCAACGGCACTGTTGCCCAACACGCCGCAGCTGACCATGATACAGCTAACGCATGCGCAGCAGAGCACAACATTGCGCATAGTGGCCTCCACCAACGGGCTTGGCTATATCCCCGCATGCACTTGCGTCGCGCTGCAAACCATCGCACAGCACGGCCAGTTTGGAGGGGCGTCCCAAAGTGTCCGTTCCCAAGAACGTCGAATGCTCGGGGAACGGGCAATGAGACACGCAGGGGAAGCGCCACAAACCATGCACCAGAAGAATTGCTACAGAACTGCGCGGCAAAACGTCGGCGACAAAAGCTGGCACAGAACTGCACCGCAATTATGCGCCACACATGTTGTAACAATTTTTGTTGTCCAGGATTGCCGCGCGCCTGCGCAGCAAAAGCCACGCGGCAAAGCATGGCAACATAATGCGAAGTAACAGCTCTAAATAGCGAACAAGAAAGGCCCCTCGACTTTCGCCGCCCACGTGTCCGCACAGCAAAAGCAATTATGCGGCTCTGTTTGTTTGCTGCGGTGCTTTGTGCCGCGAGGGCCGTTTGAATGTTGCTCTCCGCTTGGCGCGCGATTGCGAGCGCTAGCTTTGGTCCTTTCTCGGCATTTGTTCACGCCTTTTGGTGTCCTTTTTCTGCATACCAGCGCCTGTGCCGGCGACTCCAGGGGCGCCGACGAGTCAACGGCCCGGTTTGGGCCGTATGCCCTCGATGTCTAGCGCTGCTCTGACCCGCTTGGACTGGCGTGGCTGGGCCGCTACCCACTCCCAACATTCGATGCCCTCCTGGGCGCTGCACGCCGATCTTCGCAAAAAGCTAAAATATCGTCGCCCGCCAAATCCGCACAAGGAACCTGCCAGCAACTGAAAACACTGGGCGCAAGGTACGGGAACGGAGCCTTCGCATTCACCATCGTGGCTTCCCTTCAGGACCACTTCGACGCGGTACGGTGCATGATTTTTCAGGCCTGAGGGCAGACAAAACTATGCACCGCACCATGCCTGGGCCGAGGATCGATGACGCCTCAGGAGACGCCAACGAGGTACGGTGCACACAAGACCTCCGCGGACAAGGCTCGGCATCTTCCTCGTCCGCCTCTGTTTGCTTCTCTGACCCCCCCTCCCCAGCCGCGCCTCCAACCGGGCCGCGCTCCGCCCCCGAGCGTCAGT